TTGGAAAAGGGAGTAGTAGAGATGAAGTTGTGATGTTAGACGAACTCAGATCAGATGCAGCCCTAATGTCTTTATATATTGTTTTCATGCGAAGTCATTGAAAAATGTCACCAGTGGAGTGACATGATGTGAGATGCTCTGCATACCTGAGGGTGGTCGGGCATTGAGGAGGAAGTGTGGAAGGCGGGTCTGGCATGGAAAGTGGCAGGTGAGATGGCGGGAAGTGACTGGGCTGGTGTGGAAGGCACAGAGAAAGGAGGCGGTGATTCAGAAAATTAGTGAGTGACGGCTGACTCCTGGGCTTGCAGCAGGGATTTCTGTGTTTATTCTAAGCAAGTATGTAGATTTTGTGTTTTGTTTGAGAGATGATCAGGATCTAGTGGTGGGAGGGAAGCAACAGTTCTGTTATTTTTAGAAGTCAGGTTCTTTTTCTTTCATTTTAAAGATAAAAGAACAAAAACATATTAACAATCAGACATCTATTTACAAAATAGCACAAGAACAATACAAGCAATACTGAATTAAAAATGGTCACAACCATACCTATAAGTGAAATAAATCAGATCTGCATGTGTAAGCAACATATTGTCTCATTAGTGTAAGAACCTGAAAGAGTGAATAAAAATAGGAAGTATGATGGACATTTTGAAATGAAAGGAAACTGCTCAAAAGTAAAAAGCAAGTGGGATGAGGGAAAAGAGAAAAGAAAGAAGGGGAAACTCTGTATTTATGTATATACAGGATAGCTAACAGAGTTGTACCACTGAATTATATCACTTTATTGAAAAGCACAGTTAATGATTAATTATTTGATCAATCTTGCATGTATATATTTATTTTCCTGAGTAACCACTTTGAAGTTATCAATATGTAACACAGCAACCGTTGTTAATTTCCTGTCACCTTGAAAGTTAGGTTCTTGAAGCCAGTAGGAAATCTAAATTTCTTTCCAAAACTACCCTTTGCTTTACAGTTGGGACTCGCAGGTCCTGGGCTTCATCTTCAATGACATGTTCCTCCGCATCTCCACCCGCCTGCCCTCCTCCTACATCTATGGCTTTGGGGAAACGGAGCACACAGCCTTTCGGAGAGACCTGAACTGGCACACGTGGGGCATGTTTTCCCGAGACCAGCCTCCAGGGGTAAGCACAGGACGAGTGGGATCTGTGTATTTTGGTTTGTGTCTAGATGTCTCCGCAAAGCTTCATGCAGTCATGGGGGTGGTTTTGCAGATGTGGCTGAATCCTAAGTTTTTGGTCCACTGCTTGTAGTAAGGCTGTGAATGCTCTACCCAGGCTAGGGCGGGTAGCCTGCATACAGTATAAATGACACAAAGAGTCTTGTATTCCCCCTTGCTTATTTTCTTTTGCTGTCTTCTGTGGCCATGAACTATTGCCCCTCTGCCATGTGCCACCCTGCCTTGGAGCCAGCCAATTATGGACTGAAACCTCTAAGAATTGTGAGCTAAATATATCTTTCTTCCCTTGACTTTGGACATTGGATATTTTTTTCAGCCATGAGAAAAGTAACTAAATAAAACACTGTGTTTTTGCCTTTGTCTAACTACACCGTATGTGCTTTGTGTTTCCTCTTCTCTGGTTCAACATAGCTTGTCACACTGTGCTCTTAGACAAGGGGGCTCAATTGGCGGGTACCTTTCTTTCTCCTGTGTTTAACTTATTTCTCAGATAGGTCAAGACCCATGTCAGCAAACAGACTTTATTTCGTTTCTTCATCAGGCATGTCTTCTAACCTTGTACCTCTTCTCTCCCATGGCTCTCAGTACAAGATGAATTCCTATGGTGTCCACCCCTACTACATGGGACTTGAGGAGGATGGCAGTGCCCATGGTGTGCTCCTGCTGAACAGCAATGCCATGGGTAGGATGATGCCAGTGCTTCTTCTTTTTTATTGTAACATGTTTGTAGTACATAATGATTACATTCAAATTGGAGAGTTGATACATATACAGGACACATCTTCCCTTTTTCTTTACCCTTCCCCATGTCTTGGGCCCCTTCATAGATACATAGCTTTTGTACATGTTTGTAGTACATAATGATCACCTTTCTTGTGGAGACTCTGTATATGTATACAACACACCACTTCTACCACCCCTTTTCACTCCCCCTCCAATCTGTTGGTTCCCTTCACATATGCTAAGGATCTATCTGGCTATACTCCATGGTTTTTAGAATGTGTGTGATGGATCTTCATCCTTCCATCAAATATTCATTTTGTGGGAAGTGTTTTTTATGGTTAGTATTTTGTTTGTTTCAGTCCAGGGTTGTGCAATAATACAACAACTGAAGTCTTATTTTGGCAAAAATCAGATAGCAAAGAACACAAAACCAAATGAATTACAAACAGCCTCCAGCTCATCTAGTGGGAGCAGGCCTATAACTTGAATTTTGTTTGTTTTTGTTTTTTTTTTGTTTTTTTTTCTCTGGTACCAGGAACCGAACTCACGAACTTGCGCTTGCCAGGCAGGCGTTTTTGCCGCTGAGCTAAATCCCCAGCCCCTATAACTTGAAATAGTAGTTAAGATATAGTATGAATCAGAGTACTCTTCCCAGGAGTACGAGAGTGTGAATAAAACTTTTGTGACATATATGAATGAAGGATGTGGTGAAATGTGAATTAATTTCATACTTTAGCAAACAGTATTTATTACTGTTGGTCTCCTAGTTTGGCAATGTACTGTGGTTCAATAAAGTGTTATGATTCAGTAAAGCTGAGTGAAGTGTACATAGAACTCAAATATTTCTGCCACTTCTTATGTGTCGTAAGTTTTCTTATATGACAGGTATAATAATTTGAAGAACTAGAATGAGAAAATATATAGTAAGATAATAAGCATACCATAAAGGAAACATCTAGGAGTGGATCCTAAGGACTAGTACTTCTTCAGTTAGTATGGGTAAAGTTCAGAGTATCTGCCCTTAATATTCTAAAGTGGAAAAGGCAGATGCTATGTATGTCAAGGATAATTCGTGTTCATGAAGGTGTCCACCATTCTTGACATTTTCCTATCTTTTCAGATGTGACGTTCCAGCCCATGCCTGCTGTCACGTACCGCACTACAGGGGGAATTCTGGACTTCTATGTGTTCTTGGGCCCAACTCCAGAGCTTGTCACTCAGCAGTACACTGAGGTAGGAAGGAACCCATTTGCTTATCATGTATTTATTAGAAACAGAAGCACAAATCTGTGCTTCACTTTGCCCAGGGTCACACAGAGAGCACACCGGCAGTCTCTTTGCTAATCCACACATTTTTTCTGCCCTCTGGGTTCTGTGCTTCTAAGCATAGAGCAACTCTAGGAATCATAGTGAAATCAAATTTTCCCCAATTTCTAAACTATGAGGTCTAGTCCAGTAGACTTCTCTAAGGTATTCCAGTTACTCTTTATCACCTCAGTTTATCTCTGGATTCTACTCGTTGATTTTCTATCTTGCAGCACTGGAGAAATACTTTTATTACTGCATGTGCAGCTTAAATCCGACTTCTACCACAAGGACTAGTATTATGGTATTTTCTAGGTGATTGGTCGGCCTGTGATGGTGCCTTACTGGGCCCTGGGGTTCCAGCTGTGTCGCTATGGATATGAGAATGACTCTGAGATCGCCAGCCTGTATGATGACATGGTGGCCGCCGAGATCCCCTATGTACGTAAAGGACATTGTGACCTTGTAGCTAACTCATTTATCTCTGTATCTCGATTTATTTGTTGGACTTCTGCAAAGTGGTACAAAGACACAAAGTTCTTTCTCAGATGATGTCACATGATGCCTCACCCCAGCACTGTAATGCAAATGGGCCTTCTCCCATCTTACCAACGTGATGCAAGCCTTTTCTCTGCTGTCCATGGTTTCTTCTATTCCCTTCACATGACTTCAGAAAATTTGGTCAAAAAGTTCTTGATTCCATAAAAATAAAATATCCCTCAGCAAATGAGGTGTAGTGGCTGATTCCAGCTGTGCATGAGGCAAGGCTAGATATCTTATCAAAATCCTCCCCTGAAATAGCGTACTAAAAGTTGCTAGGGACATTGCCCAGTGAACATGCACTGGGCTGGCATGTGCAGGCCCTAGGTTTACTCACCAGTGCTGAAAAACCATCAGCCATTAGTTTTGCTAATCAAGTAGAATGAACCCAATGCAGTTAGACCATTGCTGGTGAGATCTGTCCTCGGTTCCAGTGCATGGCAGCTGCAGGGCTACATTCCGTCTGCTCTGAACATGGGCAACCTGGCATGCATTTCAGAGAAAGTATCCATGGAATCAAAATGTATGCCTCAGTGGAGAACCAAAGGGTGCAACATCAGAAATATTCCATGCAGCAATTTCATACTAAGTTAACCACTTACTTTTCTGTTGTTCACAATAGTTTCATTAATTGAAAGTTTGTCATGCAAAATTTCATCATTATAAGAAATTGTGTCTGGGACTGGGGATTTAGCTCAGCAGCACAGCACCTGCCTGCCAAGCGCGAGGCTGTGAGTTTGGTTCTCGGTACCGGAAAAAAAAAAAAAGAAATTGTGTCTGATTACCGCTGAGATTGGATATCCCGAAGTAATTACAAGCTTCTGTTTTGTTATGTTTTCTGCTAGCTTTCTGTCAGTATTGTACTATGACTGCAGAATTGCTCACACTATTTTCCCAAGGAGAACTCATAGGGGAAGTAATGAAAATCATTCTTTGTACTGGAAGTTTTCAAAATAATTTTCACATTCAGAGTTTTTGTTTATCCTTCTAAATGTACTTCCAGATAGACATTATCATTCTATGTTTTATTGATTTACATCACCTCCAGGTTATGACTTAACATTTAAAAAAATTAGATAAACTTCCCGGATCACATGCCACACTGTCATGGAGGTATGATTTGACAGAGCCAGGAGAAACCTTTTAACTTCACCATCAGTATTGGATAGTTGCTCCCTTCTGGAAATGGATTGCACCACCCTCAGCCCCTGGGTTTCCCTGTGTCCTCCCACAGGACGTGCAGTACTCAGACATCGACTACATGGAGCGGCAGCTGGACTTCACCCTCAGCCCCAAGTTTGCTGGGTTGCCAGATCTGATCAATCGCATGAAGGCCGATGGGATGCGGGTCATCCTCATTCTGGTTAGTCCTCCTGTGAGTGGGATTAGTTTGTTTGGGCACTGGCCGGGCTTTGGTGGAGAACACATTGTGCTACATTGACTTTCCTGTTACAAGAAGAGAAACTGAAGCACAACAAGAATTGTATTTCCTAGGATTCATGGATACAGTACAGTTCAGATGGAAACTAGGGACACCTGTCTCCTAAATGTCCCTTTTTGCTGCCCCCTTGTCCTTCCCTGCCTGTGGTTTTCCCACCTGACTTGTGCTTTGCTTTCAGGACCCAGCCATTTCTGGCAATGAGACGCAGCCCTACCCTGCCTTCACTCGGGGTGTGGCTGATGACGTCTTCATCAAGTATCCCAATGATGGAGGCATTGTGTGGGGAAAGGTATGATCAAGGGCTGATCCCCCAATTCCCGGCCTGGGGCAGTCTCTGAGATGTGGTAGTGTGTTTGTACATACTGTTTCTTGGTCCTTTGCATTTGGGATCTGAGGCTCATACTTTTCGTTTTTCAAACAAGTTTAGTTGATACAGTTAACAATTTTGTAGAATCTACCTGACTCCAGATCAGGCATACAAGAGAATGGAGGTCTTAGTAACCCTTGGACAATAGTTTCTGTTTTCTTGGAATATACCATACATGTGAAATTGCATAGTGCATTGCTATTGAAGGTTTATCTCTCCACAGGTCTGGCCTGATTTCCCTGATATTGTCATTGACCCCTCTCTCGACTGGGACAGTCAAGTGGAGGTAAGAGAGCCATTGTGGATGTTGGTGGAGGGGTTGCCAGGAAGGAGGAGCCATCCCCAGGTTACTGGAAATCCCCTGCCATGGACATGAGCATGGCAAGGGAGAAACACTCAGGAATTATGCCCAGGGCATCAGTCTTTGTGCTGGTTACATCACATACAGTAATGTTTCCTTTCTAGTGGCAGTGAAGAGAGTTTAAATTTTTATCCATGGCTTTAGGAGACATAATATTAATTTTACCCTCAGAGCTGTCCGATTCCCAAGGCCCATGGAATAGTCACTGGGCACCACCTGTAAGGAGTGCTACTTCCCTCGCAGTTAGTGTCTTTGTTGTTGTTTCCATGTTCTCTCTTAAGTATGGTTCCTGACCTTTGTCTTTAGCTAGTGAGTCTTTTTCTCGTACATCTTTTGTTCTTTTTTTCTTCTATACCTTCACATGTATAAATCCTGCCCCCTAGTTTCATTGAAACTCAGGTCTCTCCACTTTCCTTTCACTCCTTAATTTCCAGTCTTTGATAAAATTTCTTCTCACCTGTTAATAGATTCTTGATTTTTATACATTCTGGCATCCCATACAGATGGACAATAATTTTTTTCAGCTTCCTTAAGCATTTGTCACCTAAATGAATACATAGTTCTTTATTAGTCTGTGAAGTTTCTATCCTGTTCTCTCTCACAATATATGCACAGTGAACTGATACACCTTTCTTATTCACTGTTCTGATAATATGTGTGAGCAGGGCTGTTTGGGTTATCTATTGTTCTGATAATACTTGAAAGCAGGGCTCTCTTCCTCTGGAGAGTAAAAACCTTACTTTGTCCTTTATCTCTCCTTTAACAATGATCATTGCTTCTAGACGATTTGTAGTAGGGCATGTGTAGCCAGTAGAACTGTCATGGAGTTCCTATTGAATAGAGGAGAAGCTTTTTATCAGTAATCCTGACTGGGGCCATAGGAACTCAGAATTTGTACTGTGTGTGGCCAGAGGTAGTATAGGTTGTACTATCTGGGAACTTTATCAGGATCAAGAGTTAATAGATATAATTGAGTGGGAACAAAGCACAGCAGTTTTAAATTCCAGTATTAGCACTCAAAGTTCAATGTCAAGATGCCCTCTGATAGCTCTCATTAGTAGTATTCTATCCAGTGGATTAATATATGGCAGATACACTCCAGTCACTAGGAATAAGACTGGGAGGTATGAAATCCAGTGTTCGTGCATTAGCCAGGGAAGTTAAATGTCAGGAAAAGCAGTGTGTCCTAGAGGGAAACAGGCAGTAGACAGAGGTAGCATTGTGTAGGACCAAAGGTTCTGGCCTGGGACAACTCCCACAGAGGAACCTAGATAGATAGCACTGTAAACGAGTGACACACAAATTGCCTTTGGTTGAGTCTCTCACCTGGATCACAATTGGCAGGAGGCGCACTCTAGATGCAAAATTAGGAGCTCATGCTGGGGATTTGGTTGCCTGGCTATTTAACTTTGTATATACTGTGATTTTATCTTTTGGTAGTAAATGCAGGAAGAAAAACCAGAAGCTGGTTGGAGTACATTTTACAAATTTGCAAGAGTGTTTCAGATACAGTTCAATATTTTCTTTCTGTATATTTTGAACAAGCATCTATCTATCTATCTATCGTTTAATGAGAATTCAAGGGACAGACATAGGCACCTATCCTCTCCATCATGTCACACAGGGGAACACTTGCCTGTTGGTGCTTCAGACAGCCCACATGGACACAAGGGACCTTCAACCAGCAACATTTAGGTACACAGGCTCCCTGGCTTTTATATTTTTACATTGGTAGAGGAGCTACTGCATCAATCATGGGGTGTTCTTATAAGACCTATAGTCCTCAGTCATGAAGGCCAGTATTCTCCCTAATCACAAGGTCATTGTGAAATCTGTGGAGTAGTGTTGGTTCTCCAAAACACCATGTGACATTTAGTGGGTAGTGGCCATGGAGGTCCACAGCTCTGGTTGCAGGGTACTCATCACAAAGATTCTGTCATTCCAAATGATACAATTGTGACTTTGATGAGAAACCCTTCATTTAGAGGTTCACAGAATTTATTAGGTTGATCATAAGAGATTCTCAGTGGATGGAATAGTTACAACTATTTATATTAGTAATATCAACTGTGAGCTTGGTGAGACAATGTCCATGTCTCACATCGCTGGGGTCAGTTCAAAACAACCAAGAACCAAGACCTATGAAAAGCAAATTTCTGAGCTTGAAGTTTAGAGTTTTAATTCAGTCCAGTAATTAATTTTAGTAGCATGCAATGGGCTTGGATAAGTAGCCTTCTTCAGTCATTCAGGTGTGCACATCCCTGGCTCACATGAAGGTAAATGATGGCAGGGGCAGTAGGACAAGTATTGAATTTTGAGAGGATAAGGCAGACACCACACTTAGGAAAATAGCAGTACAATTTTCATTACATGGATATGAATTGTCAGAGCATAATAATTGAGGTTAACAAAACATACTTGGCAGAATTTTCTACTTATATCCTATTAAAGATACAATTGTGACTCTGATACAGCTGATAATGACTTTTCATTCAACGCACTCCCCTGCACACACACATACCATTATTTCTGACCTTGCCTGAGCTGGAGCTCTCCATAGTGAAAAGCTCCTTTCTCCTACTTCTATGGATTTTGCTTTTATTTTCTAACAAAAGACTTCCTAGTATTTCCAGTGATGTGATACCTAGGTCTCTGTAAGACTGATTTATGCATAAAGATCCATTTTTATTTTCTTTGTGTTCCTGTTTTGCCTTCTATCTAGACTCATGGGTTTCTACTTCACTTTTTCTGTTTTGTATTAGAATTCCCCTAGGTCAAGTCATCTTTCTGCTGCTTCTTCTAGTACTATTGAGCTTTTTGACTCTTATAATGAAGTGCTTACCATAGAGGAGTCTGTTTACAGAGACCTACAACTACCAGGACTCATCATAGAGTCCTGTGATGAGCAAGATGTCCTGTGATGAGTCTATAGATACATTTGTGAATGTTTGATGCTGCTATGTGACATTAACCTACAATTAAACAGAGTATTTATTATCATTTTTTTGTTCATATTACATCAGGTTCTTAGATAAGCACTGTAGGGAGTAAGAAAATTGGTCAGAAAAATATAAGATAAGGTTCTTGTTCTCTAAAAGCTTATGGTATAAATGCAGAGTAATATCTTGGATCTACAATTCATGGTATGATAAGCACATTACTTTTATCTTTTGCGGGAACATGAAGAGAGAGGGAGGTTGAAACTTTATTCTTAGGTCCTCCCTCTTCACATTACACACAGCTGCAATTTTCCTGTGATTCTCACAACCATAGGAAACAGACAAACAGGAATTGTACTCTAATATCATGACATAAAGTTGTATCCCTTCCTCTCACTCCTAGCGGATGTTTCAGTCTAGCCTGCTACAGTACATCTCATGTCTACTGTTTCTCCTTATCATCTTTCTGCTTCTTGCCTTGTCTTTGAGAAGAGTTTGGGAAAAATCAGGACAGAACTTGAAGCGGAGCATCTAAAGCATCAGTGTATGAGTTCAAGTTGTTGTTGCCATTCATACTGATATGTAGTAGAAAACAGTTTCTGGGTGTTTTCCAGACTCTAGGGTATATGATTTGTGCTTACTCCTCTTCATTGCACTCAAGAACACTATGTTGGATCTGTTCAGCCTGTCACTATCTACAACCAGGTAGTAAAGTCTTTGCACAAGTTAAGTTCTAAGTAAATGCTTGTTTGCTGTCTAATACGTTCACTTGGCAGAAATGAGTTATCTTTTGTTTTTGTAGCAATACCGAGCTTACGTGGCCTTCCCAGACTTTTTCCGTAACTCAACTGTCCTGTGGTGGAAGAGGGAAATTGAAGAGCTCTACAACAACCCACGGAATCCAGAGCAGAGCTTGAAGTTTGACGGCATGTGGATTGTAAGTGTGTGTCTGTGTCTGTGTGTGTACATGTGCATAGATATGTGTCTGTCTTTTGTCTTAGCATGTGAAACACTGTCCTTTACAGGGTAATTGTCATCCAGTAAATACACTTGCCCATTTTTGCATGATACAGCCTTAATGCACCTCAAGCCTTGTACCTGACCTGAAGTTCCTGCTGTAAAACATCGTCAGCCAATACTGGGAAATGTTTACAACTTTGCTTGCCTTGAGGGAATCTGATTTAACCATTTGGCCAGTCATCCTGTACAGCTTAAGTGAAAATTTGAGTAATGCTCTCCAGGATATGAATAGCTTCCCTGAGCAAGCATCTATAGAGATATTAAATGATTTATTCACTGCTTTCTTATCTCAGAATGGGCAGAACATACTTAATTATCTTCCAGTGTAAGCCATACCTATGTTTGATGTGTTGTAGGATATGAATGAACCTGCGAGCTTTGTGAATGGAGCCGTCCCTTCAGGCTGCACAGATGCAACTCTGAATCGTCCTCCCTACATGCCATGTAAGAACTCTGGACCTCCTCCAGCTGTGAATCACTGGATAGAAGTAGGGTGACCTTTGGAAGTGCTCAGCATCTAGAGGATGAGGCTGATTATTCAGAGCATGCCGTAATTGATGCTGTGGTTTATAAGGGCTCATAGACCAAACCACTTTCAACACTTTATCCAGTTGGACAAATGGAAGTTAGTACATTTGTAGTGGCGAATTTCTCTAATTAGGATAGAAAACAGTTAACATGGCAGTGTCTTCAAAGGATTCCTACTGCTATGTTTCTTGGTTTTTCTGGCTTGTATTAATTTACATATAGGAAAATCTTATGCCATGAAAGACCAAAGGAGAAGGTTCTCTGCATCTTGTAGTCCATGAACTTTGATGTTAAACTTGTGTTTATATCTTGGATCTAAAATTACTTGTTTTCTGAGTTCTGTGACCTACCTTGGATTTCACAATACTTTCAAGTCTCAATTTCCTAAACTGTTAAGAGGCAGATAACACTATCATGTTCATGGAATTATAAGATTATATGAAATAGTTTTCAAGTTCATAGCCTACACTAGAGCCTATATCCATAGGAGGGCTTTGACAACCCTGTGTTCTACCCTCACCTCTAATTCTACTTTTTCCACTGGAGTTAATGTTAAAAACCATGATGCTGCCACCACTGGAGCTCATAACCAAACAGTATTTTGCCTCTGGGAAGTAGGAGAAGAACCCATGGGAATTAGTTTATGATTCATAGCTCAGATCCTTAAAGATCAATCAGGAACTAAAAGTAACAAGGCTGTTGTTCACAATCATCCCCTCAGATTTGGAGGCCAGGGACAGGGGCCTAAGCAGCAAGACCCTGTGCATGGAGAGTGAGCAGATCCTTCCCGATGGCTCCAGAGTACGTCACTACGATGTGCACAGCCTGTATGGATGGTCCCAGACCAGGCCCACCTATGAGTGAGTTGTTCTTTCCCTTCCCTAGTTGACACGACGTGTTTGTACATCTATGAGGGACACAGGTTCTTACTTTGCTTTTATTCATTATTCTAAGCATTAAGAAGAATTTATTTAGAATTATTCACAATTCTCACTTATTACTGACACATTCTTTCAGCACGGAGCCAGACCCTATGACTATAATTGGGAGGACATGCTTAATTGAGGAGTAATCTCATCAGTGAGAAACTAATAGTCCCAATGGGGCACCTCTCTCCTTTTTTCCAAAAATGAATCATCTTTGTTGGATTTCTCTTCCCCATTCCTGGTAGATGTTATCAGATCTAGTGTTGAATTGGCAAACATCCACTGTGAGTTCAAAGAGTAAAAATTATTCTAAGCAAAATCTTAAGAAGTAGTTTATAGTATTCAGCAGCAAATATAGGAAACCAAACAGTAAATAAATAGCAAGGTGTTTGTCTACTATTTTAAGACAGTTCAGGGTTTTTATATGATGAATTTCTTTGTAAAACACTATGAAAGACACCACTGCTCTTATTATCTGTATTAGTGAGCCCGATGTCTCTGTGGCTCAGTTATCTATATTCCCCCAGTCAGGCAGGCATCAGCGTGCCTTAACCAAGGGATCTGGAGGTTGAATCTCTATGACCTTCATTCCTCTGCTCTGGCCTCATTTCACTTCCTTATTCTCCTCCAACCAGAGCTGTGCAGGAGGTGACAGGACAGCGAGGAATCGTCATCACCCGCTCCACATTCCCCTCTTCTGGCCGCTGGGCAGGACACTGGCTGGGGGACAACACGGCCGCGTGGGACCAGCTGAGGAAATCTATCATTGGTACCTGGGCCTGTTCCCAGGGCTTGGTGACAGGGAGGGAGGCGACATCCTTGGTGAGGGAGGAGGAGCAGGCAGGTCCTGATGCCTGCCTGACACAGATGTGGTTCTCATTGCAGGCATGATGGAGTTCAGCCTCTTCGGCATATCCTATGTAAGTGGCCTTCAGATTCTTCCTGACTGCTTCCAGGATGGTGGCACCTTTCAGAAATGACCAAAGGCCTGTTTTGTTCTGTCTTGTTTCAGACAGGGGCAGATATCTGTGGGTTCTTTCAAGATGCTGAGTATGAGATGTGTGCTCGCTGGATGCAGCTGGGGGCCTTTTACCCTTTCTCCAGGAACCACAACACCATTGGCACCAGGGTAGGACTTCAGTGCTGCCCATTTTTTGTTTGTTGTTTGATTTTCTTTTTCTCACTTAAAGTATGCAAGTATTTGTGAGCTAATTTGATGCCAACTGTTTCCCTAGGGAAATCTTCAAAATTGTTTAACCCTCCTTTCAATAAACCACATTCTTCAGTATTGTTTAGGTGAATTTTGTTCAGAAAGAGTCTTCCTAATGCATCCCTAGAAGAATGTCTGATGGGCAAATTTTATTTTCTTTCTGGGAGGGGGTCTGTGACAATTTCCAGTTTATTAAGAAGACTCTTGGAATCTCAACTCTACTTTAGTTTAACTGTGTGTGAGGCATGTGGAAAAACATTCTCTGAACTTTCCCAGTTCCCCTTGCATGAACTCTGAAGACTTCCTTTCCTCCTTTAGAGACAAGACCCTGTGTCGTGGGATGCTGCCTTTGTGAATATTTCCAAAAGTGTGCTGGAGACTAGATACACCCTGCTGCCGTACCTCTATACCTTGATGTACAAGGCCCACACAGAGGGCATCACTGTCGTGAGGCCTCTTCTCCATGAGTGAGTGTCCAGCTGGAACCCTGCCCACCAATGGATAATGCATTTCTTTTTCTAGAGTGGTTCTGGATGAGACAGTTTCTCCAAACTGAAGACATGATTCCTTTTTTTTTTTTAAGTTATTAGACAGAGATGATTTTTTGTACTGTTATAGGTTAATGAAGAAAAGGTATCTTTCAAGTGAGAAAAATTTCTTAAGGGATATAACATAATGCAGTATAATTTCTCTGTCATTTGTCAATGTGAAGATTTCCCTCCATCTTGTACCAGTTGAGTTCCATGTGCCTGGGCCTATATGAGTTCAGTTAATCAAAGGGGAAGTTACTTCGGTGAAATGTAAGAGATGAGGGCCAACCTGGTGTGTAGCTTGGGCCATGGTGAGCAAATATATATCTTCCTTCAGAGCAGCCAGACCTGTGCAGAGCAGGCCACATGTTCTTGGTGACACTAGGAAGTGAGCATAGCAGTGGATGCAGCTAAATCTCTCACTGAGATTTGAACATGGGGTATTTCCTCAGGCCTTGGGCTCTGATTGTGACCAGTTCATTTTCCTTCCAGGTTTGTGTCAGACCGGGTGACGTGGGATGTAGACAGTCAGTTCCTGCTGGGCCCTGCCTTGCTGGTCAGCCCTGTCCTGGAGGCTGTGAGTGTGGAGGGCCGTGCTGGTGGGTGGATGATCCTGGCTCCCAGGCTGGGTGATTAGGAGAAGGAGAAGCAGTCTGGTGCATGAAGCACCCTGAATCATGGTTTCTTATTCTCCCTATGTGTCTTCCTCTCCTGAGTAGAAGTTTATGGCTTAAATGTTCTGGTATCAGCCTGCACTTCTTTCAAGTCACCCCAACAATCCTGGAAAAATAAACAAACAGACACCCCCAGGATAGCCTCATGATCCCTTTGAGAAGGTCATATTTCTCCATAAGGTGAAATATTGAGTACAGAACCGGGTTGGTCAAGAGTGTATATAGAGTTTGTTACAATATTGTGTCACCATGAAACCCACACTTTCCAGGAGAGTTACCTGCAGCCATGTGTATTCTATTGCTACTGGTGAGCGCTCCCTTCCTCCATAACTGGCTGCAACAGCTGTTTCACCACTTCTGTCTGATTCTCGGACATCTGTGTATGATGCCATCTAATGACACCCTCCTATCATACCTACAAGTTCTTCTCCAGACCAACCTCAGGAGATTCTCTCTTTAGTGAGGGTTTGTGCTGAGTATTCAAGCCACTGTTTTTATTTTCCCCTAAAGTTCTGGACCTCAAAGAGCTTTGTTGAAGCCACTTAATTTGGGTAGCCTTATTTCCCTGTGTGAAAACAGGGAAAGAAAGCATGTGAGTTCCAGGCAAACGCTACTGCTGTAGTTCCTTT